ACCATGGGACGCGTGGGACGTCCCACCTGTCCCATGGGCCGGCCCACGTGTCCCATGGGACGTCCCACGTGGGATCCCAATAGTGTCAGTACTTGCAGTCGTGGAGAAAAAATGAGGTTTGGGGCCTCGCTCAAAAAAGGTTCTGTGGGTGGACCGGCACTGCTGTAGTATTAGTTCTTTTTTCTTTGGAGAGCGAATAGTGCGGCGGAGCAGAAAGCGGGCGGTTGGTTGCGCCTTGGTTAGTTACCGCCTTCGCAAGACTGACTGCGAGACCGCTAAAAATTGCGCCGCACATTCATCAGCTGTGATGTGGCCGACAACCTCTTATGTTCATTAACACTTCAACCGTGTAGCACGGCCGTGAGGCCGCGCAACCACTGCAGATTGGCTTTGCGATATTGATCCTTGGTTCGGAGATAGAGACGAGAGACGAGACCTGACGAATATACCGCACCCGTCACGTAAAACTGCTCCGCCAAACTCCGTTGATAAAGATCTGGGGTACTGCTGGTCATATATATGGACAAGGTCACACTCACAGGGTCCAGTGCCGACCAGACGTGGAAACAGAGCAAAAGCAACGCGAGAGTACAGCGCTAAGGCGACGGTGAGGAGAAGCAAAACATGCGGTACTCTGCCATACAGAAGCTACTTTTGATATACACTTCCTCTTGCACGTGTTACAGCAGATAGATTGTGTGCTCCTCTGCGTATAGTCTTCTACCCGTTTCTTTGATGATTCAGGAGAGGACATGCCATCAGCTTTGCTTCTACATCACGTCTGCCGTGATACGGCCAAAGACGTGCTGGGTGCACGCCGGTGAGAGTACGCGTTGCATTTCTTCGAAGCACCACTTCCACGCGAACGAAATACGATACCTATTTTATTTATCTAGATACCTAGAATAGACCCACATCCATTCCGTGCGCTGTGATGATGCGGAGAAGGGGTTTTGCCGCTGGCTCTTTTCCAGTGCTTTATTTAATCCTGTACAAGGAAATAAAACAACCTTCGGTAGGGTTAGCTTGGGGTTCTATCGTCATCAGTAGACGACACACCATGAAGAGGCGTCGTGCGTGCTGGCACGTTCAGGTTTGCTACTGGAGCTGAAATATCGACGGTCGCAGCAGCCTCTGAAAACAGTCCGAAATCCCAGCGGCATCCAACACTTGTCACAGCCGTGTTCACCCGCACGGACCGTAAACCCCCACGGCCGCTACTGCCGCCCTGTGCGAGAATCAACGACTGCTGTTTTCCGCGATGCCTTCCGACTGGTCTTGTGTGTTTCTTGTGCATTTCTGGTGCTCTCGCGTCTGTTTTCAGAACTAACGTAACGTAGTGTAGTCAACATCGATATTCCTTGTGAACAGTAGAAACCGTCTCCCGCCAACTCTAATAGTTCTTCGTGATGCTGGACACAGCCACGATATATCCACAACCCCTATGCATGTAAGACACCTTCTTAGGCATGCGTCACCTCCGTGACGTGCGCAAATGAGCGCACTCCGTCATGAGAGCCACCCCGCACGACAAGACCCACCAGAGAACCAGAGTAACACGATAAATAAAGTGCGTGCGATGCGCATCCTGAATAGAAGTTTCGCGGACGGTTATTGGACACCGGCTACATTTTGACCAATATTTAACACACCACCGTCCACAGGGGTAAGCTGGCTTGGTTGTTTGCCCGCGAGCACGGAGGACGTGCCGGTTCTTTTATGCGTATGCGCAAAGACGATGACATGCTGTGGCAAGCGTCGAACTCGCCCTGCGCAAGTACAGAAGAACAGAGCCCCCCCCCTGGCCGAACTGAGCACTGCAGAGGGCAACGAAACTGCCACCAGGAAAGAGTTTCCCCGAGGCGACGAAAAGACCCCTCGGGGTTCTCCTCTTGTTGTTTTTAGTCCGGAACTCCCGCGTCCGCACGTAACACAAGCGGCCCTCCCCCGATGGAACCCGCAATATCGGGCCTGAGCACGGTCGATAGGAAAACGAACGAGGTGTGAAGAAAGTGGAGCATCGGGGAGGCTTGCTGCGGCTTCTGTCCGCCATGCCACGTGTCGTTTCGAAGCACCTTGCACAGCAGTATTTTTTTCATGTGAGTGGATTTCTTGGAGCAGTAATTGAGTACCTCGGACCAAAGTTTATAACTAGGTGAGCCGTTTCAATCATGGCGTTCCCCGCCGGCAGTCTCAAAGCTGTTGGTAGTTGTAGACGAAGTACCCGGCGTCGATTGGCGCTTGGTGTCGCAGCTCTGTTTGAAGCATATCATTTCAAGCAGCATCAAAGCAACAATCAATCACTGCACCAAAGATTGACAGGTGAACACACGGTACCTCCCACGAAATACCTACCAAGGATAGGAGGGCAAGAAACACACCAAGCACTGGTGTCCCATGGGGTCGAACGCAGGGCTGCTAGGGTACACCGACCGCTTACCGGGGGTGCCTCTCGGTTGTCTTCAAAGAGGTGGAAGTACGGTCATTGCACGACAAACGCGAGAGGAGGTATCGTATTCGACTTTTGAAGTTCTACATCTCCACCCCCCTTGGCGTGTGTCCAAGCAGTGTTGCGTCAGTATATCGATGACTCGACACCACCTGCGTGATTTTTTGAAGCAGCAAACAGAAGAACCGGAGACAGGAGGTCAAAATATACAAGTGCACAACGTCACCGTCATTTCCCGTCACGCCCCCGTCCCCCCCAGGGTCAGCAAGGCGTGTGACTGGAAGCAGCTACATACGGTATTGTGCGACCATGCCCCGAAAAAAAGCGAAGCCGTACAACCTCCTGCCCTTTGGCAAGCGCTGGCTAGGCTGCGGGTTGGTACTGCTGGGCCTACTGTCACAGCAAACACTGCTGGCACGGGAGCAGTCGGCGCAAGGCACCTCCACCAACACCAACGGAGTGTCGCGGACGATTTCGGTGCCAGAGGCCCCCAGCGGTCCTGGAATCACAACCTATGAGGAAAGGAAGAAGGTAACGGTATCACCGGCGAGTTCGAAGACCGATCTTGAGTTTACGTCCAATTTCGACCATGTCTTCCCGTCATCATCGCTGCACACGACATTCAAGTATAACCCCGCGTTTGGAGCCGTGTTCGCCGTCGATGACCCTGCGCGCGAACTCCTATTTGACAGGTTAGTTAGGCTTTCCCCGTGTGGTTGTCACTGTCTCAGCTGCAATTCCAACATCTGGGCCATCTAGCCCCGCGTGCGCGGGCACTACCAAGCTCTGAATAATAAGACATAGATACGCCAACCGCCACACCCCACACGTGACTCTGCTGCTCATAAACCCGCCATTTGACTCCTTCCCCCTCTCGCGGTTGGCTCATATCCGCCGTTGCTCCAGGTAACCCGACGTGCCTTGCGTGGCTGTGTGCATCTTCGTGGCATCTCGGCGTTGTCTATCACTCACTCACCTTGCGCTCTCTTTCTACCCTTCTGCCGTTACGTTCCCAGCAAGTTCGCCTCCTCTGCGGACAACAAGACTCCCGGGATGATAGTCGCGTCTTCCGGAGGCCACGGGGCCGCACACACGAAGGTCGCGGTCGCCTCTAGCAACGGCGCCGACTTCATACTATCTCCTTCGCCCAAGGGCCTCGTTTCGACCATCATGACGGCGTACAACCGCCACGCCGACCTGGTGCTCAGGCCGGACGACGTGTGGCTGACGATCCTCGCCCAGTTCTGCCTCTACGTCAACAAGAACGCGGAGAGCCTGCGCGACAGGATCGTCGACCACGAGGGCAAGAAGGTGCTCAGGGTCGAGGGAGGCGGGAACCTATTTTCCCTGGACTACCCGGCCCTGATTCGCGAGATGCTGGCGAAGATCCGGGAGAACATCAAGACGCCCGAGCTCGCCGACTGGTTCAAGCCCGGCTTCACGACCACGACGGACACCGACGAGGTCGCCGCGGCGGCGACGGCGATGGCCAGCCTGCAAGCCTACTTCTCGTACGAGATCCACGCCGAGTGCGGGCTTCCGTCCGTGACCCTCATGGGCACGGTGCAGGACTGGAAGCTGCTGCGAGCGAAGGTAGAGCGACTGCTCGACTTCGAGGTGATTGACAACCCGGAGGGGGACGTCATGGAGGTGTGGGTGGGGTACCTGCGGAAGGTGTGTGACGGGTTCGTGGAATCCGCGGAGCACCCGGACAGCACGGAAACACTCCAGTTCTGGGACAAGGTATGCTCCCGAGCGTAGATGTAGTTGCTTTCGTACAACCAACAAAACACGCGTGCTGGAAACGTGTTGGTCGTGTATCGGGACCCCTTAAGGTGCTTACTCTGTATGGGGAGTTCGGTCCTCGCCAATGAAAATGGCAATGAAGGTCTCCCTATGGCACGTCCAGAAAGCGAGGCCGGGTAAGCAACATCCCGAACTTCTGTGATCTCTTTCCGCTTCGTATTTCGTATCTCAAGCAGTGCTGCTAGGCTACAGTCATAAAACACGAACGACGACGTTGTTATTTTCAGGTGGTCTCCCACATTGGCGGCGGCTCGGGAGTGAGCTACATCACGGGCTGGCTGTCCGCCTTCGCGTGCTTCAACAAGGACGGGAAGTTCATGGGGAGGAACACAGAAATTCCCGGAACAGGTTCATATCGAGACACCGCCGTCCCGGACAAGTCCAACGAGTGCGAGTATCCGCTGATCGAGACTAGCCAGATCTGCCACAATGTGGTGTCGTGTCCCGTGAAGATCAACGACAACGGTGTCGAGTACGACAGCACTCTGTTCGTCGGCCAGGTTGCCCTTGAAGCCCGGAACGGTGGTGAGGGAGGCTACCCAACCATCCGGCCGCGTAACGACTGGTGCTTGGCCGTGCCTGCGAAAGCGGAAGGAGGGCATCTGTATCCGTTGCCGATGGTGGAGAGACTGTAGTCGTATGTTTCTCTTCTAGACATTGGAAGCGCGAGTTCCGGCGGAGGATGGCCTTTGAAACTTGTTTGCGTTAGTATTATAGTGCACATGCTTGCCGTCCCCGGCAAAATTTGTTTTTTCTCGAAGTACATGCAAGATCGGAAAACATGCTGCGCTACGCCCTTCCCTGCACGTGGAGTAAACTAAGCATACGTATTCGTGCATCACTTCAAGACGGCCGGTTCCGAAACCACTGATGTCGAATCCCAGGAAGTGGTACAAGAACCTCTGCGCGCGATACAGCAGTGCCGGCCCGCTCGTAATAGTGTAAATATGTTTGGAAGACACCGAGGCTCAGATTTTGGACAAACTTGAGAAAAAAGCCCTAAAAGAGAAGTTGAGCATGGCGGTCGGCGCTACATTAACATCATGTTATAGTAAAAAATGTTAATTTTTTCATGACGTCGACCGGTGAACACGGTATACTCTTGTCACATATGGGAAACTAGTTTATTTACAGCAACAGTCGGATGCATCCGCGCACCCATATCTAGGTAACTACGCACACACACGACTGTTCAATCACGTTCCGATGTAAACGGGTGTACACATGATTTACCCCGATAAGTCTGGCGGGGGCGACGGTGACGTGCTTGAACTTCTTGCCGTCCGAAGACTTGGCACCAGCGCAAAGACGCCACACCGCGTGGATATTATTCCACTCTGACAACAACAGCAAGCAAAAAGGGCATTGTTGTGGAGAGATTTAGCGGTTGCGGTTGCGATGCAGTTTCTTCATGTCAGGAGGGCTTCGTGCAACAACAACACCTGAATAACATTCGGGCACATATCAGGCGGATTATTTACTTGATATAATTACAGAGAGAAATTGCACTTACATTTCTTTGTAGCCGCGGCTGTTGACCTGTGCGGTTGGGATCCCGAGCGAAGGAGTACCTCCCACCGGGGCGAGGCAGAGCTGGCACGGCTTGGGGTACGTTGTCGACGGGGTGAGGATGGTGCAGGATACGCTGCAACTGTGTCCTCGTCGCGGTTGTTGATACGGTCGCGAGGGGCAAACTTGCCTTTACCGTCGCGCTTGTTAATGAGCTAAAAACAGAGAATTGTCGAACGTCGGTTTGAAATTATGAACATCGGTTTGAGAATTTTCTCGTGGTTGGAGTAAATCGTTCTTTTGACTTGAGGATTGGAATCGAAAACACCGTGTTGATTGCCGCCTTTCCCAAGTCCTCTCCAAAAAAGCAAGTTTCTGGAGCAGCAGCCCCAAACGGCCTCAGGCGAGCTTCTGTGGCGGTGAGCACGTACCCTGGCATGTACTGAGTGGTCAGCTTAGCTTCGCCGTTGCGTTGGGTCCGCCGAGAGATAGAGAAGCAACTCATCGGTGATCAGTTGTATTTTTTTAGAGAAAAGCAAGAAAATGTGGAGTGTGTGTGTGTTTCGCGTACCCTCTCTCTCCCCTGCCGACAACACACCCTCGCACCTGCACCTGCTGCACATCCGTACAGGCCACCCATACATGGATGTGGTGAGGATCCAAACGTGAGCACTCCTCCCCTCCTCGGGGGCTCGTTCCTTCGCAGTAGAGCTGCTCTTCGGCTGTAGTGTGCGCGCGCATCCGAGAGAGCTCGCTGCTGTACCTAATCGGTAAAATTAGATACCGATTAAAAGATATGCTCAGAGCTCGTTAGCACCCGGCCGGATCACATGGGCTTGAGGCTGTTTGTAGCTTAATCACTGTGGGATTGAGAGTAGAGATCTCCGGGGCGTACAGTACCCCTCGCCAGACGCTGCTGTTTGGTAAACAAATGGCGGTTCTTGTGTAAGTGGACCACTGGGATTCGAACCCGTGCGTGGAACCTTGTGTAAGAAGGCTCTGACCATTACAGATGGCGCCCGCACTTAAGAACATCTTAATTTGCGTGAGGCTGGGGTTCTTAGTTGCCTGTTGAGGCTGCGAATGGCCATTATATAGGTTTTAGTGTGAGGTTCTTAACGGGGACCACTAAAATACGCTCATCATGTTCATGAGTGTTGGATTTTTTGAGCCTCATGTTCTTAACAGGTAGGTTCTTAAGTGCGGGCGCCATCTGTAGACCACTAAGTCAGCGCTGACTAGCCGAATGGTCTAATTGATCTCTACTCTCAATCCCAGTGATTAAGCTACAAACAGCCTCAAGCCCATGTGATCCGGCCGGGTGCTAACGAGCTCTGAGCATATCTTTTAATCGGTAAAATTAGACCATCCGGCTAGTCAGCGCTGACTAGCCGGATGGTCTATTTTTACCGATTAGTACCCACCAGACCCACCCGCTCTTTCCGTTTCTCGGAACGAATAAAAAAAAAAAAGGCACGCATGTGTGTGTGTCCCCAGCCTCGTCCGGGCGGCCACCGCCGTAAACTGCTAACGGGTGATGATCTGATGTATTTGGTTGCATTGTTCGAGGTAAGGTAAATAGTGCAGCAGCATCCCAACGCCCTCTCCGTGCTGCTCCGTTCGCCCCCAATCTGATCTGAATCGAATCCTTCGACAGCAGCACCTGATCTCACCACGTCACCTCATCAAGCAGCAAGCAACCACTCGGAGGAACATTTTTATGTTTTTCGTCATCAAGCACCCGAGCCATGCTCGGCACTCGGCACCCGAGAGAGCAGCGGACAGGGTGTATCCAGTTGAGCGAGCTGGGTCTTTCGAGCAACCTGGGAGCTCACCTTTAGTTCGTACTGTGCCGGTGCGTGGAGAGAGAGAGAGCACACTCTTTCGCAAGGCGGATGGATAGTTTGCCCAAGGAGACGTCCTTGTCTTTCGGTGTTTGTACTTGAAAGAGAGGGATGGAGAGAGAGAGGGCCCTACCCTAACATCGAGGCGTGGCACGTTGGCACGACCACCTTAGTGCAGCCACCACTCACTCCCCGACAGTCTGGAGGTAGGCAGTCCCATCAGGTATGGTTCTTGGATTTTCATCGCACAGAGTGGGTGGATGCGGTATGACAGGTGGTACGTGCGATACTGAGTAAAAAAAAAAAACGACAGCAGCAGTCCCGCGCATGACGCCTACTGCTGTACTACGACACCGTTCACGATACCGCGAAGTACCTCCTGCTCAGCGAGGGCCCTGGAGCCACTAGACAGGGGCTCGGTATCGGTGATACCGTGATCGGTGATACCGTGCGATATCACCGAACGCCGTGCGTCAATCGAGTTACCTCGTTTTTTTTTCGCCGCAGTCAAATATAAATAAGCAGTTGTCTCTCCTTTGTCGTAAAATACATACGTTGCAAAAGCTGTCTGTTTTTCTCTCTCTCCCCCCTCGCAAGTCTGTTCTCACAGGTGCTACCGGGTCCACGTTGAACTTGTTGAACTTGTAACAGCCGGCGTCTTTCTGACGCCAACATGATTGATAACGTTGGAGCGAATCCACAGCCACACCAACGCTGTCCCTTCCAACTCGTGGTCGGTCTTACTGCATTGATTGCCCCCTCCGTGACTTACATCAAAGGATCAGCTGTTCCGCCAGAGTATAGTCTACAGCAGTAAGTGTTTGTGGCACAACTAGCGCGCAGATAGTCGTGCGCATCTCTACCGCCTTTGGTTGCGACTACTATTGTGCTTGGACCACCTCATCTCTCTGCTCTTGCCATAGCTTTATTGACGGAGTATTATTATTGTTGCAGGCGCTCCCGTTGACCCTTTCCGACAAGTGACAAGTCTGCCGCTCTGTACCCCCGTCTCCTGCAATGTTCGTTATCCTGTGTGCTGCCGCGCGCCCCCCTCCTCGCAGGCATGAAGTCGCTAGTTGACGAATCGTTTCAAGGCCGTTGGAAGGTTCCGGCTGGTAACCTGGACCTGTCGTTTAGAGGGAGACCATTGCGTCCTGACGGCGTGGCACGGATAAGGCAGAGCATCATGTCCAACGGCTGGGTTGACACACGTATCATCGCCTGCCGACTTGCTGGTGACAATGGTGTGTTGGACGAGGCCACGGCGAAGACAAAGCCCCTGAGAGTCATAGATGGGCGCCACAGGTATCTACTATGGTGCATGCATTAGGTGGAATATGGGTGTGTGTTTTTTGAGTGTGTTCGCCCCGCGTTGTACTTGGCGCCACTCTACTAACCAGTGCGTTTACCACCGTGGCTCAAAAAGCGGGCTCCCACAAAAAGAAGGTAGGTATAGTAGCCCACAGCAGAAGAAACGAATTGCCCACTAACCGGCGGCAGTCACTGCCGTTGTTTTTCTCGCGACAAGGACTGCGCCGTCCCTATCGATCGGCCATCGACCTCGAAAACGGCAGCACACTCGAATGATTGAAGTTATTCATTTTTTTCGGGGATCAATTTGTAGCAATTATATTGGCGAGTCACAGTTGAGTCGACTTGTGACAGCAGTAACGAGAGAGGGCCGGGAAGAAAGCGGTGTTCGCGCTCGCTCGAGGCTAGGAATAGTCCCCATGTCATGATGGAACAAGACAGGACAACGAGTTCCACGTGTCCCTGCCAGGACAAGTAAAGGCCTCCACTTGCTGTGTTTTTGGTTTGTACTGCAACAGATGTGCAGCTCTTGTTGCACTCAACGCCGCCAAGGATTCAGGACAAGAGATCTGCCCGCTCGTTGATGTTCATAGTGCAGTGGACGCGGATACGGAGAGGTTGATAGCTGGTAAGTGTGTGCAGATGGGTTGGTTGTTTCAGCCTTACATTATTCCATGGCGGCGTGTACGTTCCGGCAGCCTGAACTGCAGAAACCGTTTGTGTTTGTTGTCGACATACTGGGTTTGTTTTGCACCTTACTATCTATGTGTTCATTTCAGGACCGCCGATGCCAGGCACAGAGAGAGAGGCGGCCTTTGTTTAATCACCAAGGAGCGTGAGAGTAGACAAGTCTGCTGTGTGTGTGCGTGGAAAAAGAACACGAGGAGACTGAAACTCAATGGACCATATGACATGAACGTACAACCCTAGACTTCGCCCCACCCATAGCATTTGGCATGTCCGGTTGTCCG